TCACTGTAACCTTCAGGTAGGGTGTAGACTCGTGCAGATTTACTTTTGAGGAGTAGGCCTGTCTGAACGCACTGAGTGTACGCCCTCCTGAGACAAGGGACAGGAAGAAGTGGAGCCTCTCTGAGGGAGCAGAAGAGACGTCCGTGCGGGTGTCCTTTCCGGGCTGCTGTGTAGCCCCTCAGGTAGCTTCTAGACTTTTTCAGCCGCACACCCTTCACTCTTTCTCATCCTGTTTAATCTACTTGGCATGTCAGAGCACATCCCACTTAGAAACTTCTAAATGTGCCTGGGGAAAGGCCAAGCCCCTCAATGTTGCCCACAAGAACCCCACAGTTGGGCCCCACACAGTCTGGCTGGTTTTCCTTCTCACTCAGGCTCTCATGGCTGTCTCCCAAGCTCCTGTGACAAAGCAGAGTTTCTGGAAGTCTCAGGCTGAATGACACTTTGGGGGCTTTCCTGTTGACACTTACCTTCTTCTCTTTTTAATGATCTGTATTCTTCTTCTCCTAACAGAGATGCCGAGTTCTTCAATGGTACTCTTGAATTTCATTTATTTATTTATTTTTGTCTCCTTTCCCCTTCCTTGACTTAAGCCAAGCATCGCGCCGGCTCTGCTACCAGAGACGATCGATAACTTGTTGAGAGAAATTCGTCAGTTCTAGCTTTCCAAGGTGATGACAGTGGGCTTTGCTCACTGAGACCCAAGCTCCCCCAGCCTCCACAGAGAAGTGATGGATCCAGCTAGGAATACTTGAGGGGCTGCTGTAACCCATTCCCCTGGCTGCGGCTCTGCGGCAGGTGGCTTCAGGGGACAGAGCTGAGATGGTGAATGACTCAACCTGAGACTGACAGCTGCTGCTCTCTGCCTCAGCTGATTTTCCCTTTTGCAAACGGTTATTGGCAATTGAAACTGCAAATCTACTTGCTGCTCCCCTACGTAAATTACATTTACATTTAAATTGTGTATTCTTCCCAAGGAGGAGGGGAGTAAATAAGCGGCAGATTAGGCTTGAGGAGAGGAAATTGTGCCCCATATCAAATCTGAGACTGAAGTGACATCTGGCTTTTACTATTTCCATTATTTTGGTTTAATAACAGCATGTGGCATTAAGGGAGGAGAAAATTGGATCTACATTTTAATAAAAGGAGGAAACTCAGGATTTAGATACCTTATCGAATTGAATACCTAGTCGATTGGCAATTAAACTCGCCTCAAAAAATGGGATAAAATGTCGTCATAGCTATGGAGAGAATGAAAACAAAACAAGCCAGTGCCCAGAACCACACGGCTAAGACTGACAGGAAGGCTGGGCGCATTGGCACCAACTGTTTCAGGACTTCACTGGGCATGGGGATTCTCAGACGGAGCAGGGCTGACAATGGCACCATGCATATGAATGGGGGGGAGCTTCAAGAGCATGGTCTGTCTGAAGACAAGCACACAAAACAGGGAGCTCACGCCAGAGATGTTTGGAGTCGGCTGAGTTTAATCCTGTGGGTTTCCAATTCCGGGGGTCTGACCACAAACATGTCTCACAAACGTCTGTCTCCTTCTAATGGTCTCGCTGTTGAAAACGGAAGCGATTCCACCTGCTGCCCGATTTTTGTTGAAAGCAATTCTGGGCCGTGTAAACAAAATGCTTCCGTATCTTAATAAGTCAAGCCTATCGTTTATTTGCTTTCATTAAAACAAATGTGTCAATTTTCCAAGTCTTTGTCTGGTGAAGTCAGTGTTTGGATGTTGATAAACGATCACATCGTGTGTTTGGAAGCTGGGGCTCTATTCAGAACGTAGGAGTCACAGTCGTCTGGGAGCACTCATGGTCTGGGAGCACTCACGGTCTGGGAGCACTCAGCCTTCCTAGCTGTCCACCCCAAGATGCTCCGCTCTTTCTCAGGGCCTAGAAAAGGCTGAAGTTATAAGACTACAATTGAAGGGTAAAGGGGGTGGATCCTCCAGGTGGAAACTCTGAGGCCAGGGCTCAGAAATAATTAAAATAATGGAAACCCATAGGATTTTCTGGGTGCCAAGTACTTTATGTGTTTTAATTCACGAAGGCATCATGCCCGTCTCATGGGGAAAGTTCCAGCTGTCATTGCCACTGCAGATAAAGGGAGACCTCAGCCATCTGCAGATGGTGAGGGATGGAGCTGGGGTTCGAGTCTAGACAGGCCGGTTCCTCTGTTTTCTTTAAACCCTTTCAGATGGCTCCCTTTTCCCTGGAGTTTAAGGAGCACACTGTGTTTTCTCAGTTACATTTTGTCTTGCATAATTGTTTTGAAAACTACAGCAGTTTTGCTTGAAAGACTCCAGCTACTAGTATGACGGCTCTTTCCCTAAAATAAAGCAACAATAAGATCTACATTTTGCAATGTAATGATATGGCTCAGCTGCCTTGCGGGGATCCGGAGAATGGAATGAGACATGAACGTGTTTTAAAGAGGTCTAAACCATGAGACTTCGATACGCTCAGAACATACCCTCCATCCCCAGTCTTCTTTTTTCTTTCTTCTATTAAAAAAAAAAAAGCTCTATTGCATATGTATGTGTGATATGTTTGGACAGTCGCATGTGGTGTGGAGGTTGGAGGATGGGCAATTTCCAGGTGTCCTAGGAATGGAAGTCAAGCCATTAGGCTTAGTGGCAAGTGTCTTTACCTGTTGAGCCCTCTTGCCAGCTCTGATTCTTTTTTTTTTCTTTTTAAAGTTTATTTATGTATATATTTTTTAATGTTAAGAGTGCTCTGTCAGCATGTACAACTGCATGCCTCAAGGGGGCAGCAAATCCCTTTACAGATGGTTGTGAGTCACCATGTGGTTGCTGGGAATTGTACTCAGGACCTCTGGAAGAGCAGTGCTCTTAACTGCTGTGTCATCTCTCCAGCCCCTGTTTTTTGTTTGTTTTGTTTTTCAAGACAGGGTTTCTCTGTGTAGCCCTGGCTCTTTTGGAACTCACTCTGTAGACTAGGTTGACCTCGAATTCACAGAGATCCGCCTGCCTCTGCCTCCCCAGTGCTGGGCTTAAAGGCGTGCGCCACCACACCTGGCTCTCATAAAAATCCTTCATGTGGACCGATATCTCTTCCACTTTCTGGTTTCCCTGTGAGTCTTTTGATGGTGGCCCAGATGCTGGCATTTGCTTGACTTCTCATTTCTCCTCCATGTTTCTTGGCACCATTTAGTCACGTGCAGTTCCTTCCTCCTGTGCGCCAAAGTGACTGTAGCCTCTTCAGATCTTCTGCCACAGCACTCCACCTCTGAAGCTAGCCAGTGCCTCCCGCTGTTTGAACTCAGCTTAAGTCCATCATCTAATTTCCCCATCAGTGTTGCTGGGCCAGAGGGAGGTCACTGATGTCACACTGTCAGTATTGTGATTACCCTCATATCTAGCAGGCAAGGAAGGGACAGTTGTTCCTGGCAACCCTTGGGTGAGTCTCACACAGCTTAGGTAACCGACTCACTGCCTGACTGCATAGACTTCCCACAACCATGTGAAGGGGTGAGTGAATTCAGCATCCGGTTGGGTTGCATTTGCATGTTTGTCTTCCATATGTGTGTCCCCTCTAGGCAATTGTTTAATGTCACTGAAATTGATGGGAGCTCTTTGGAAGGTTATTTTTGGGAAGCCAGGGAAACAACAGACAGCTGTTCTCTGGAACAAATGTCGCCGGATGGCTTAAGTGTGCCTCCAGTCCCAAATAAATGAATAAATAATAAAAAATAAATAAAAATCTGAGCTGTGAGCCACAGTGCCCTTTGCCTTTCTAGCGTTAGACTGATTTCTGGACACAGCTTCCCAAATGCATGGAGAAGGCAGAAACTAATGTTATCCAAGCCTGCGTTTGTGAAAAGAAGCATAGTTTGAATCACAGAATTACCCAAACAAGCATTCCTGAGCACTCTGTCATGGGTCACAGTTCCCTGGCTTTTTCTAGCTTGTTTACGATGGGCTTCCTAAGTGGACATTGATTGAGCACCAATAAAGGCAAAGCCGTTTCTAAAGTGGGACGCTGTCTTTCTGTGCTGAGCACCGAGATTGCTTTCCCTGAAATATTAAAATCCTTGAGACCTGTGAGAAATGAGCCAATGTACGAGTCCCGAATGGCAAAGCCAGAGAGAAGGCTCCTCAGATGAGTGACTCCACCCTGTCCACGTCACTCCGTGGGTGATGGGGTCCGTTTGGGGAGTGGGAATCAAGAGGTAAAGGGGATATAACTAATTGACTTGAGGTTGAATAGGTTTAGACAGATCAAGACTTCACAAACCTGTTCAACTCAATCTGCCTGGAGGATTGAGCGTTGGCTTTTTCCAAATGCCAGTCCATCAGCCACAGTGTTTTCTAGCGGCTAATTAAAACCGAAAACACCGTTAGGCTGACAACATAACGGCCCTTGCCTATGGCTTCACATGGTGGAAGGAGAGAATTGTTTTCATAAGGTATCCTCCGACCTCCTGTGGGATACACCCATCTGCACAGATGCATTTGCACTTGTGCACAAAATGCATGTAAGTAGAAAATTTTGAATCCTTTAAAAACTGTGTCTCATTGTGCTCAGTGTTAAACTGCAGGAGGGAAAGCCAACTGTTGCCAGCTTGCAGTCCTTGACTGCCCTGAGCTCACGGTAGCCTCAGGAAAAGGAGGGCACTGATAAATAACTTTCTCACTCACTGAAAACAAATCTCTCACACCTCAGTCTTATTTAATTAATGGCTTATCTTCCGGGGTGGGGCACTGGAGTCCTGAGCAGAGTTCCAGGATGAAACTATTTTCCTCATTTTACCCAGGTAAGTTTTCTTACGTTAGTTGAGGAAAAACATTAGAAATCACCGATCCCTAAGAACCTCAGGTAGAGTAGAAACCTCAAGTTTTGCCTGAAGGCTGCCAATCCCAGCAGGACTCTCAGGCAGGGAGCAGCAGCGGCAATGTGTGCCTTAGCGCCTGCGCTGTGGTATTTACTGGTAACATTGTCTTAATGAATGTAATATTTTCCTGCTCCCAGGAGTCCGCTGTCAGAGAGGAGGCCAGCTTCTATCAGTATGGTGGATGTGCAGTGTCTCAGTGACTGTGAACTGCACATGCAACTGGAGAAGCTTGGATTTTCAGCGGGCCCAATACTGCGTACGTTTACAGTTCATGTTGGGGGGTATTCATTTGACAAACTACATCTGAAGTCTAAATCAGAAAAGTAGAAGAAGGAGGGACATATGCAGTAAGAGGCACTAAAAATACAAAGAGGAAAACAGGAAGCCATATGGAGAGGAGCTGGAACAGACAGCCCCAGGTCCTTACAGACTGGGAAATACAAGGCCAGGGAGGGAAATTTTTGTTTGTATTGTTTTGTTTTGTTTTTGTTTTTGTCGTTTTATTTTATTTCAACACTGAAAATCCAATTATTATATTAGTCACCTTGGGTTTTTGGATGTAGCCTGTATTTTCATTATCTCTATTCTCATGGACAACCATGTCCCGCTTGTTCTCAGGTGTCTTCAGTACCCGGTTACTGATAATCTGTATCAGTATAAGATGTATCTGTATAAGATGTATCCAGTACCTGTTGGTATAATGGGAGCAGTGATTTGAGTGGCTGGGGGGGGGGGGGTCCACCTCATTGTTGAAAGCCATAATTAGGCAATAATGTCAGGTCCTCGAAGAAAGGCCTGGGTTAGAAAATAACTTTTGAACTCTATGTATACAACACTGAACAGTTCAATTCTCCATGTTGTTTCTCAGCTTCCACCAGAAAAACGTACGAGAAAAAGTTAGTGCAATTGTTGGTCTCGCCTCCCTGTGAACAACCTGTCATGAAGAGACCCAAAAACCTACACGGATCTGACCACAGCGATGACAGTGAAGGTACCATGGTTGTGCTGCCAGATGGCAGCTTCCCATTTATTAATACCCTGTCCAGCATGGCTTACACAGTCAGTGCCGTGCGTGATGACCTGTGAAATAGCCGTGTGGCCTCTTTCTGCACAGAGCTTATGGAATAAGTCCTCAGGCTGCAGAATCCGAGCAGCAATGTCTCTTTCACACAGAAGATATGGCTGGATAAGACGTTGCGGGAAGGACTGGCCAGTGTGCAGATCCTTTACCTATCTAGAGTCAGCTTATATATATATGTGGATTCCTTAAAATTAGCTCATATATATAATGTCAGGGTTCCAGCCTCCTGTGAGGTCCTAAGATCCACTTTGTCTTAAATGGGCGCATTTCACTACGATTTTTTTTGGATTAGGTGATTTCATGCCCAGAAAGAAGGATGAATCTTGTACGTCTCTGAACTTCTCACGTACAAACTGCTGGCAGTAGTTTCAGAGAGACTGAGTGGTTGGGAAGCTGTGGTCCCTGGAATCCTTTGCCTTGTCTTCCAGTGGCCTCAGTCCCAGCAGCGTGCTGTGCAAAGCAGCGTAAATCAGACGCCCACTGTAGTTCCTGTCCCTAGGGCTCTCAAAGGATGGCCTTGGGGGGTCCCCACTGTATATCTCACAAACATTTCCTAAGAGTCCCCTATGAACCCAGAGAAACAGCACCTTATGTGGTCCACCCATGACTTCTGGCCTGGATGACCAAGCCCTTTAATCCTCACAACACTTAGCCAAAGTCAGAAAGCAGGAGTGATGTGGTGGTTTGAAAGAAAAAGGTCCCCAGTGGGAGTGGCACTATTAGAGGTGTGACCTTGTTTGAGGAAGTGTGTTACTGGGAGTGGGGTTTTAGGTCTCCTGTGTTCAAGCTATGCCCAGTGACCACAGTTCACTTCCTGTTGCCTAAGGATAGACATAGAATTCTCAGCTCCTTTTCCAGCACCAAGTCCGCCTGCATGCCCCATGTTCTACCATGATGGTAAGGAACTAAGCCTTTGAACTGTAAGCTAGTCCCAGTTAAATGGTTTCCATTATAAGAGTTGCCGTGGTCATGGTGTCTCTTCACAGCGTCAGAGCACTGACTAAGACTCTGAGGAGTGTCCCTCGGAGATGAGCATATTCTGGGATGTGACGTGACAGCCAGACCACCGAGCTTCACCACCTCTCCCTGTCTAGCCACACATAGCAGGATTTCAATGCATGTCTGAGGGTTAAGAAGGCAGAACTGGCTGTGCTGGAGGTATAGCTCAATGGAGGGCACTTGCCTAGCGTGCACAAGGCCCTAAAGACCACCCAGGCCCACCAACACATGTACACACACACACATGCACGTACACACACACACACACACACACTTGCACGCACACACATACGTGCACACACACACAGTGATGGAACTGAGACTTGAACTCAGGATTGCCTCTTAAAACAGTGCTTTCTACTTTAGCCCATACTAGAGGGACATGTTGTATTTTGGAGACTGTGTGATCTATACAAAAGGACAGTTCCCCACGCTTATTCACAGTTCAGTGATACAGGGCAAGTGCTCTCTGGGGAAAAAACCAATCTTGATATTGGATGGAAACGGAGATTTCTCCAATGGTCACAACCAGTTCATTTGGAAAGGTAACAGGATTTAAGGATAGACCTCACTGGACAGTAGGTGGGCAGTGTACAAGCAACCGTGGGACAAGTAGCCATCTCAGGCTGGGGTCTTGTCTGTTTCCTACCCTTGGAAGGAGCTTAGGGAGCTAGTCCATCCAATCAAAGCTGCCCATGAAGTTAAAGCAAAGAGCTAAGCTGTGGCCAGCTCAAGCTAGTTTGAGCCAAGGGTCCCCTTCCCTCTGCCCCTGCAGCTTCAGGACACAGCATCCATAGACATGTGTTTCTGCTGGGACTGAAGAAATGAGTTTGACTATGTTCAGCTGGGTCCACCAAATGTCAACTTCCAGGTCGGAGGTGGAGACTCTTACCTGTCTTGAAGCCCTGGCTTATCATCCACCAGTGATTGCTTCAGTCACAAAACCGGCCTGAAACTGTTTATTTAAGGTCACTTTTTTTTTTCTTTTTTGGGGGGGTTTTTTGAGACGGGTTTCTCTGTAGCTTTGGAGCCTGTCCTGGAACTAGCTCTTGTAGACCAGTCTGGCCTCAAACTCACAGAGATCCGCTTGCCTCTGCCTCCGAGTGCTGGGATTAAAGGCATGTGCCACCATCGCCCGGTTTAAGGTCACTTTTGTCACCAGAAGCCGTCTAACGCCATTGGTATGGAGGGTTTAACCCGAGTTTTCCTGGGATTATCCTGTCTCAGCCTGGACCCAGAAGGTCACAAAAGCACCTGCTGGGGTGAGGGGTGGGACTGGGGAGGAGAGCAATGGCAGGGAGCTCATTAGGTCACACAAACAACCAGTGATTAAATTGTTCTCGTTTTCGTTCATTGTTGGAACAATGGGTGGGCTCAGCTTTAATTGTCCAACTTCGTTTTCTGAGGGGGGCATGTGGGAGATAGGTTTTTAGTAGATAGCCCAAGGTCTAGAATTTGCTATATAGACCAGGATGGTCCTGGACTTGCAGTGATCCTCCTGCCTCAGCCTCACTAGTGATGGAATCATACCTGGCCACTTCTTAAATTTCTCAGTTATCTCACTTGAAGTGCCCATGTTAGCCTGATGTGGTTGGTGGAGCAGGTCAGCAATCCCATCCGTTGGGAAACTCAGACAGGGGGCCTCGGCTGGGAGGTGGAGCCTGGAATAAACAGTGAAATTCTGCGTCAAAACAGCGGAAGAAAAATAAAATGCCTCTACGAATAGCGAGACTGAATGCAACCAACACTGCATCCTCCTCACACCCCAAAGTGTCACTCTGGGAGGCCTGCTGCTGCTGACTGTCCCCTGTACTCAGAAAGCCACTGACTCGCCCTCTTCAGGGTGCTGTTCCAGACAGGAGGTGGAAAGCCCTTCCTATCCTGACATTCAGGCACACACAGCTCACAGCTGGTTTGCAGGGACAATGCTAGACTGAAAAACCACCGCCCGGAGAGCAGCCTGCTAGCTTATCTCTCAGAGGCTTGCAAACACGACAGCCATCCGCGTCCCCCAGGAGGCCTGAGCATGTTTCCCTCGGCTCCTGCAGCTCCGGAGGAAAGCTCTTTTCTCCATAAAGGACACTGTGAATTCGCTTCCGCTGGTGAAAGCACCCCATGGCTGAGAAAAAAAAAAAACAACCCACTTAGTGTTTATTTCTTCTGCTATCTTGTATGTTCTCATAGCCTGTTTTCCTTTTGCTTCCCCAGATCCAGCGGTAAATATCATTTTGAAAGGAAATTTCAATTTCTCGAAAGACAAAGGCAAGGAATGCAAAAATGTATGTGCAATTCTAATGCATGAATGCTTCTATACATGTGTAAAGTATATGTAATTCTAATGCATGAATATGTCTACATATATATGAAGTATGCACAAATCTAATGCATGAATACTTCTACATATATATGAAGTATGTACAAATCTAATGCATGAATACTTCTACATATATATGAAGTATGTACAAATCTAATGCATGAATACTTCTACATATATATGAAGTATGTACAAATCTAATGCATGAATGCTTCTGCACATATGTAAAGTATGTACAATTCTAATGCACGAATATTATATTATATGTACGGATATTAATATATGTACACATATATTAAACATAGAATTTGCATTTTCAGATATATAAAGAAGCTCACTGTATTTTGTTAGAGTACGTAAGTCCTAGTCTAAAGCTGATCTTTTAATGAAAAAATTCTGCCTTTTGAAATGGTTTTTGTGTTAGCCAAGAACCCAGTATCAATGCTCCTTTTGCCCCCTCGTGAAAGAGCCACCATGGGCTCTGCCAGCCTCACGCTTCACCTGCGCCCTTCCCGTACTGAACTCGGTTCTAGGCCCCCTGTGAACCCAGGATAGATGTGACCTCTAGTCTCCTCCCCCACTACAGAGACTGGAGGCCAAGCATGTGGACCTGGCTGTCTTAGGTGCCCTGCCCACTGCTTACTTGTGGCATGCTTTGGGGAAACCAGTCAGCTGCATCCAATGGCTCTGCCTGCCAGGTGGTTGTCAGGAGAAAGCAGACCTGGGCCATTAGCACCTAGCACAGCATGGAACTGTACTCAATGAGGAATCCTCACCCTGGCTTCTTTTGCTGCCCTCTTTTGGTGCCTCTGCTTTTTTACTTCTCAGCTTTGCCACTCCGAGGTTTTTCATCCTGACTATTGTCTTTTTTTTTTTTTTTAAGATTTATTTATTTATTATGCATACAATGTTCTGCTGGCATGTACAGGCCAGAAGGGGGCACCAGATCTCAGTACAGATGGCTGTGAGCCACCACGTGGGTGCTGAGAGTTGAACTCAGGACCTCTGGAAGAACAGCCACTGCTCTTAACCTCTGAGCCATCTCTCCAGCCCCTGACTATTGTGTTGCTCTCTTTTGCTTGAGGCCTCTAGCTCCACCCTCTCCTATCTTTATGGGGTCCCTTGTCACCTCCTCCTGTGATAACTCCTCCAAGACCCTCCTCAGGCTCTGGCCTGTGTCAGGTTGGTTGATCCGGTCTCTAAACCTCCCTCCTTCCTGCGTCTGCTCGACAAATGATCCCTCACAATCAGGAGTGTTTGGCAGGTGGGAGGGATGTGTTCATACCTTGTGACATGGCCATTCCCCTGCGGCTGCACAGGATAGACGTGAGGAACAAACACATTCACACTCCCATCCAGTCGCACAGGAGGCCTCTGCTTAACCTTGCCATCCCTGTCCAGGCTTAAGGTCCCAGACCTCTATGGAATGTCCTTTTCTCATAGCTTCTTATATATAGCAGTTTCCAAATTCTAGAGATTAGAATCTTGTTTTTAAAAGAACGTATTACAGGCAGGGCCAGGTGGTTCCTACCTTTAATCTCAGTACTCAGGAGGCTAAAGCCAGAGGATGGTGAGCTCCTTGCTAGTCTGGGCTACACAACAAGACCCCATCTCAAAAAAAAAAAAAAAAAAAAAAAACCAAACCCAAAAAACCCAACCAGCCAGCCAGCCAGCCAGCCACCTAGCCAGGCAACCTAGAAAAACCTGGGGCTGCACATGAATCTCAGAAGTGAACACTGACTAGCATATACCAGCCCTGGGATTCATCCCTGACCTCCACCATGTGGGAACCCCTCTTCCTCTGCTCATTGCTCTCCATCACCACCTGTATTGTTACTGTTTTATTTGAACAATTGTGAAATCTCCCGAGTGGTTTCTGGTCCTGACCCCCCCCCCCCGGTCCCACTGTACATCTACCATCAACCATTGGAGGCTTAGTAACACCACTCACTTGCTTTGCCCACCCTACCCCCCCCACACACACTTGGGTACTTCCTGTAGCTTTTTATCCCTGTCACCTAGTGGATGCACCTGGTGTATTTCCTGCCGCATCTCCTGAGCCTCTTGCCAGCTGGTCCTTGTGCCTGGAGTTCTTTTCATTCTTCTCATGCCCTGCTCTTTCTCTCCCCTGTTGAGATAGTGCGGTTTGGGGAGAGGTTTCAAAGGCCGCTTGCTCGTGTGAATCCCTTTGAAATGACACTTCACCCCCTTCATTAGCTGAGCCATCACAGGGCCCTGCACCTGACAGGAGCCTGGAGTGTGCTCACTAAGCCTATCACACAGTTTTAGCAACACACAGGCTAGCTGCAATTGGATTCTGGTATTTAAACTACCTGCAGAATTTAAATAAATGAAAAGAAACCCCAGGTAAACGCGACTAGAGCGGCGGGCCTCCCATTCAGAAACGGTTCAGATTTGATGAAGCGATTCTGAGCAAGCACGGCCTTTTCTGAAAGGATTTTTTAAAACGTCTAAATGGCTCACTAAAGGAATCCTTTCTATTCACCAAACCCCAGTTCCTCAGAAAACCCTTTTGTCTAGATCTTACGAAGTTGCTTGCAGTAGAAAAAGCAGCCTTCTTACTTAAAACACCTAAGAGTGGAAGGAGCAGCCAGCAGTCTTTGCTTTACATAAGCCCGAGACAAAGCCGCCTCGATATTTTCAGCTGGCAATCGAATGAAACAGAGAGTTGGTGATGGCACAGGATATTTTAATGTGAAGGATTTATATAAGCTATTTTGATTCTTCAAAAGGCCCCCACGACGTCTGTTCCACTTTCGATCTGGAAGTAAATGTAAATAAGCATTGGGTTTCCTCGCACAGGTGATGGGAAGTGTGTTCATGTAGACCCTTGTTTACGCTCTTTGGAGCTGTAGTCCGCACCAGATAATCTTGTCGGTGCCTAAGAAGGGAGGCTTACGTTTGTTCAGAACACTCTTCTGTCATTTTAGTAGGTCCCTGGTGGAGGACAGTCATCTTGCGGCTTGGACTATGACAACTGCAACACCCTACTTAACAGAGTGAACGTGTGTCTTGTCAAACCACTTATGTAGCCTGCAGATTTGGTCATTAAGACCACTCAGAAAGCCCAATGAGGGCTGGGGTGCAGTTCATGGTAAAGTAGATGCTCAGCGAAGAAGACAAGCCAGCCACGTCCCCGGGCAGAAGTTGGTAGCGCTTTCTTCAGCTAGGGACTGGACATGGCTTTTCTTTCCAGTGTTGGGTTGAGAGCCGTGTTTGCATGTATAACTCAGGCTCCCTGCCTCCTCCTTCAGAGGGATTTTACAGCTGACTGTAACAGAGCTAACAGCCTCCACTGGCAGCTTGTATAGAGTGGGAATTGAGTACGGTGCCTGTGTGATTTATCACCCCAAATAGGATGAGGAAAGAATGGGAGTTACTAGTCAGGGAGACTGGAACCTGGAACAAGAGTAAGGCAGGACTGTCTTGGTCAGAAAAGAACATGTGATCATCAGGGGTCAGTACTGCATTGGAAGGAAGTATTTGTGTGTGTACACCTCCCCTTGAGAGGGATGCTTTAGCCAAAAGTCAGAACGTAGCTGGCAGGCTGGTAGAGGGTCTTTCTCTGTCTCTGTGTGTGTGTGTGAGAGAGAGAGAGAGAGAGAGAGAGAGAGAGAGAGAGAGAGAGAGAGCTATGTTGCCCACTTAGAGGTTTCTTTGTTTCTGCCCAGAGATATAACGTGCTCTTTGTGGCCAGAACCCCAGTGTGTCTGCTATTCAGCCTGGGTGGTTTCACCTTTTCTACACATTCCACCCCAGGCTTCTCCCATGCACCCCATGCCTAGGAATCAGCTTTTCCAGTGAGTCTTCCTTAACCCTTTGTCCAAGAGCTTTCTCTCTATGTTGTGTAATGTTGCAGGTAGAAAGCTCCATCTTTGCTCTGAGCTCAATTCCAGGCATATGAAGAGGGACTTCCTGATTCCTATTGGCCTCTTTGGAGGAAACCTTGGTCCTACACTGAGGTAGATGGTCGGTCTCTCTCTCCTTTCCTATTCCATGCCTGATGTCTTGTCCCTTAGACATCACAACTTTGGGACATGGGGCTTAGGTCATATTGAGTGGGCAGCAGTTCAGAAGATAGAGCTACTAACCAGGAGCAGCCTTTCAGCCGAGTGCTACTTCTAGGCACAGGATGCTGTCTTAAATCTGCTTGAAGAAGAACATGGGTGCAGATAGAGACACAGTTTCTATTCTAAAGAAACCTTTCTGTTTTTGAGACAGGATCTCACTATACAGCCCTGGTGGGGCTGAAATTAGCTGTGTGGATTAGGCTGGCCTTGAACTCATAGAGTTCCACTTGCCTTTGCCTCCGGAGTGCAGGGATTAAAGGCGTATGCCACCATGCCCAACTTTTACAAAGCTTTAAATGTGTTCTAGATACAAAAAGACATATCAAAAAAATATGGGCGCTAGAGACAGACTTGCCAGGGTTCAATCCCAGCCCTGCCTCTCACCGGCTAAGACCTCGCCCTTGTTTGTGAGTTCACCACCTGTAAGTAGGCTAATAATGATTTCTGCCTTGTAGTGAGTTGTGGAGGTGGAGTTCAAGCATATAAATCAGACTGGGGATGCAGCTTGGAGCAGAGTAGTTATGCCGTCTAATAAAAGATACTTAGCTACAAATGAGGGCTATTGTTTTTGTTAGCAGGATTGTTCTATAAAAAGCCCGCTATTTAATTAGCTGCAATACACAGTAACACAGTGAAAAAAATAAGGTAATGGAAATAAGATCCTCAGCGCTGAGCTCAGAATGCTTCAGAATATGACTTATCAGAGTGCCTGGAGAAATATTTATATAAGTAAATGCTCAGGCATAATTAAAAACTGCTTTCTGTATGCAATGGAGACGGGCCAAACTTTTAAAGTCTAGTGTGCCGGACAGAAATCTCAAGGTCCAAATCAGGAGCAGAAGGAGAGGGAGCACGAGTAAGAAACTCAGGACCG